GAATATGGATAATTTTTTATATAAATTTTAAAAAATTGTCTCGGCATAAAAAACTATCTAATATTGTGTCGACTTAAAAAATGTGTCTAGTTCTGACCATAAATTGGACCCAACCTAAAAACTTAGGTGCACAAAGCAGTGCGATACAAGGGACAGATGTACGAATGCATAAAATAATGCGATGCAAGATGCACAAAACAGTGCGAATGAGGGTGAATGAATGCAATGATTTCATCAACACAGGGTTTAGCAAACCTCTCCTTCTCTCCATTAATTAAAATTTTCAAAGCATTTCTTTCCCTTTATTTTCATTAAAATTTTGAAAATCTTAGTCAATATAAAACAGTTAGTAATAATCAATTGATGGCTCATAATTTAACAACCAAACATTTTGAAGGCTCCTAATTAAAAAAAAAAATAAATAAAAGATAATAAAATATTAATATAATTTTGTAATATAAATTATCTACCATTCAAAAACATTTACGAGTTAAAGATATAGAGTTATTAAAGAATGAGACTGATATCACAAAAGTTTTTAATTACACACTTAATTTTTTTCCGCACCTACCACATACATTATAAATTTTAAAATTTAGGCATAAATATTAGTACATGTTGTACACAAAAAATTAAATATGTGTAATTACAAATATTATTGGCCCAATTTTAGTAATAAATATGCATATACATGTTTTTTTTTAATTTAGTAGGGTTCATTGCATCAAGACCCCCTCAACTATTAATATCACTTTCTCTCTCATTTATGAACCCCGTACATATTGGCTCCCTCAATTATGAAAATTATACAAATACGTCCATTTTGAAGGTAGTTTGGAGAGGTGAAAATGTTACATTTTTATAGTTAAAGAGATCAATATATGAAATCATAGATGATGAGGATAAAGTGATATTTGTTAATAGTTTAGGGGGTTTTGGTGTAATTAACTTATTTTATTATAAAAACTAAATACTAACATATGTGTATTCACCAATTTATAAAGGAAAAATTTTGGGACCCTAAAATATCTCCTACAATTCTATCCACAATGATGTGTCAGGATAAGTGTCAACTTTTAATTTGTTACAGACCGAGGGCCCCATTCCTTTACCACATCATTGTAGATAAATTTATGAGTCAAATATGTGGGTCTCTATCATTACTCTTTAATAACTAACTAAATAAATAGATTAAGCCTCCGTTTGGGAAGTGGGTTGGCTTTTTGGCTTTTTGGCTTTTTGGCTATTTTAGCCTGGGCTATTTTAGCCTGGTTTGGGAAGGGCTTTTTGGCTTTTTGGCTTTTTTGACTTTTTTTGTGAGAGAGGATTGTAATGATTATGGGTTGGATTTGATGTTTTGTTTTTTGTGGCTAAAATAGCCTATTTTGTTTTTTGTGGCTATTTTAGCCAAAAAAGCCTGGGCTTTTTCTTGCCAAACGGAGGCTTAAGTGGTTCATGAGTTAGGTATAGACTAAGGTGGTATTGGATAAAATTGAAAATTGAAAATTGTAAATAAGTATTGAAAACGCCTTGTTTGGGAACAGGCTAATTTAGTAATTTTTTGGCTATTTGGCTAAAAAGGTAGGTAAAAAAAATTTGTATGTTTGGGATGACTTTTTGGCTAATTACGAAAAGATGTGCAAAAAGTAGAAAGAAAAGAGAATCTTTGACTTTTTGGTATGGGTTGTTGGCTTTTTGGCTAATTTAGTAACTTTTTGACTAATTGGCTAAAATAGCCTATTGCCAAACGAGGCCTGAATATGAAATTTTTTAAATTGAAAAATTGTTTGATAACAATTTAAGTGATAAACTAAAAAAAAAGTTGTTTGATATATATATAAGATCAAATTTAAAATTTATTCTTTTCAAATTGTATATTTTAATTTTTATATTGTGATGGTGGTGATAGTTGTAGTGGGCATGCTATTATGGTGGTGGTAATACTGGTGGTAGTGGTAATGGTGGCGGAGGCATGGTGGTGGTGGTAGCGACAACGTTTGTACATTGCCGAATAAAGTGAATTTGTTCAATTCAGGAAATCCGAACAAATTCACTTTGTTTGGTTCTGGAAGTCCGAACGGGAAATTCACCATCTCTTTCTCCTTCATTGTCCTCTTTTGCTGTTCTTCGCCAATGTTGCCTTCGCTGGTGTTAAGTTCTCTAGTCATGTTCCCTATACATACATGAACAAGAGGGAAAAAAAATTAAGGATTTTTCAAAAATAATTTGAATTTTTTTAATTTATTTTATTTGGGTGTACTTCAAAAAGGTAATTTAGGAGAAAAAAATAAAATGTACTAAGAATAAATTATAATCATAAATAATTTAATAAGAAGTACTGAAAAATTGGACTGACTTAAATATTTTTTTTGAGTGTAAATAGAATTTCCCTACTACTCTGAACTCTCGTTCTCTATGACATTTGGGCCTGGATGGGCCTAACTGGACTTTTCATGTTTACACACAGCCTCGAGTGACTTGGGCTTTCGTTAGAAAAGAGATTGGGTTGTGCTAATGAACATTCAAGTCCATAATTACTTACTATTAGTAGCACAGATGTCCATTGTAAGGACAGAAAATGAACAAACAAGGCCCACCCTTATTTAACCTATTTATTTAACTTCATTCCGAGATCTACAAAGCCCACCCTTTATTTTTGACTATTTTTTGTCACACATCTGTCTCATCATGTAAAATTCATCTGTATTTATAGCAATTGTTTTTTAAAATCATATCATACAAAATACACATTTGTTAGGGGTTATATAGAATTATGGAGAGTATTCTTCAACAAATCACAAGATCAAGATTATGCCATGTTGATAATCACCTACTTATTTCAGGAAAAAATAAAATAAAATTCAATTATGTATTGGTTTATATCCAAGAAATTCTCTTTTCTGAAAACATTATATGCTTACCAAATATATAGTTCCTAAAAACTAAGTCAGCACCTCTTTCAGTAGTCAATTTTCATGGATTTTCAATCAAATTTTATAAACTATTAAATAAATATGAAATTGTTGAAATGTAGCCACCTCATTCTTGTTCTGAAAGTGATACACCATAATTTACTAAAATTAAATTACCCCCCCCGCCTCCGCCTCCACCCCGATATGTTGGCCCCCTCCAATCCCTCCTCCTCCTCCTCCTCCGCCCTCCTCCAGCCTCTCCCTCTCCTTCCTCCTTCTCTCTCACTTTTTCGAGCCAATTTCGAGCCGAAACTCTCGAGCTACCAATCGCTACCGATCCAAGAAATTCTCTTTTCTGAAAACATTATATGCTTACCAAATATATAGTTCCTAAAAACTAAGTCAGCACCTCTTTCAGTAGTCAATTTTCATGGATTTTCAATCAAATTTTATAAACTATTAAATAAATATGAAATTGTTGAAATGTAGCCACCTCATTCTTGTTCTGAAAGTGATACACCATAATTTACTAAAATTAAATTAAAAAATTCTATACATTAGTAAAAAATAACACTTTTCTTTCCCATTTTTAGGGGTCACTTTTCTTTCCCATTTTTAGGGGTTTCAAAACAATAATGCTTGGAACTAATTATCACAGTTATACCTCATTTAGGGCCAAAGTAATACCAATTTAAGAGTCCTTATAAAATGTACTACTTGTGTTTATCTTAATACTAATAGGTTTGTTGATGTTGTTTCCTACAAATTGAAAACTGATAATCGAAAAGTAAAATATTAAGAACACGTATATCTCTACTTCTTAATAATCAATTTTGTAAAATTTATGTAAATTATTTTTACCTCATAAGTTATAAATAGAAATTGTATCAAATACTTTGGTACAAATTTCATAATAAGAAAAGAGTTATAAATAGTCCCATAAGTTGTACCGAACAGGATGAACATCAAATTGAGAATGAAGGTATATTCATTTTTTGAATGATAGAGAACCATAATTGACACACTATGCCCTCTAGTATAAAGTTTTTTGAATAAATTCTAAATATAAGTAATTATTCAAAGTTATGCATATCAGTTGTGTGGGTGATTTTCCGATCACACTGTCCAACTCAGTATTCAGTTGGAGAGCACTGGCAGAATAGATGACACCTGGCTAACCTGCAACAGAAAAAGAAGATTCTGGCGGTGGTTCATCCACCCGGGGCACTCCGACGATCAAGTCAGTATATCTCCCAAAGATAATCAATAGTGCTAATCTCACTGTTCAGAATATAAATTGCGTATCTTAGACCCATGGGTGTACCTCTCTTTTATAGTTAACTCAATCCTTGTCCCACTAGAAGCCTAGCTTTAATGAACTCTTACTCAGTGCTTATCCTGGACTCTCCAAGAGATAAAGATAAACTCCCTAAGAGTGTTATCCTTATCCATGCTAAAGTCCTTCATCATTCAAGGACTCTTGTCCCTTATCCGTTTATCTCGGATTCCGATATCTTCAGAGATAACCTCGGCCTTGCCGAGATAACCTCGGCGTCATGAACTGGACACGTGGCACCTCGGACACGTCGGCGTCACCTTGGCCACATGTTTGGGACTCAGAAAATATTTCCCCACAACTGTCCCCTAGGTTCTATTACCTCGGCATTCTGAGGTGATGGAACCTATATCGGTACTTCCTGCCAGTACATCGGCTTAAGCCGAGATCATTACTATAGGCCGACATGTCTTCTTAAAGATCAAGATTTCCAAGATTTCCAAGAACTTCTTCACGCGCATGAGTTGTCATGCATAATCACTCAACTATCATAACCACGTGCCTTCTCCTTACTGGATCGTGCTTGTGACGCGCTTTTAAATCGTCTCGCCCATGTGTGTGCCATCTGAAGCTCACGTTGTTTTAGGCGCATTAATTCCGTTTGCCGCCGTTTCAAGTTTTAACAAAAACTTTTTTCCCTTTTTTCGTCGTTTCACTTTTCGTTCAATCCATTAGCTTTTTCTCTCTCTAGCTCTTTTCCTCAAATCCGCCATTGCTCAAGCTTTCTGAGTTCTGCAATTTGCTTCATTTACCACCTCTTGCATGATTTCCACCGTTCTTCCGCCTCTGCAACCGTCGTCAGACTTCGGCAAATCCCATTCCGACTTCCCTCTTTCTGGTAAGCCACTGTTTCCTCCTGGTTCTTATTTCTTGTTGTTTTTTTAAGAAATTCTGCTTTAGTTGCCATTGCTATTTTACTCAAGCAATTGATTTATGAATCATCTATCTGAGTGTGTTTATTTCACGATTTTGCTCTTGCTCACGTCTTGAATGCACACACTGTTCACAATTATTCTACACTTTTGTCGCTATTCTTGATAGTCCATCTTTGTTCTTGATTCTAAAGCACATTCTTGCTTTTCTGTTTTCTAGATTTTCACGCCTTCAATCTTTGTTCCCATAGATCAAGGTTTGGGATTTGCCTGTAGAACCCTTGATTTTTAGGAAAAACTGAAACTATTTTCGCAAATCCTTACCCAGCACATTCTTTAGGTTTTTTGTCGAGGTCCCAATAACCCTTTTAAAACACCTTTATTCTGAAATTCAGTTCCTCCTAGCTAGGCCGATATCATGGGTATGTGGAAGCATAGGGTAGACACCCCGACAAAATTAGACTACTTTAGGCGAGAGTTTTCCATCCCTGCCGACGTCCATCTAAGGTTGGCTGGGAATGACGACTCTATCATGCCCGATGTAAACCTCATGCCTTTCCCAGTAGTAGCGTTTATTGAGTGTGGACTTAGGTTTCCACTTGACCCTTTCTTCCGTGAAATCCTCCACTTCTATAGGTTGAACCCAATGCAACTTGCAATCAATTTCGTACCGAGTTATTAATAGTACCATAGCCTTAGCCAAATAAGAGAATGCTAGGATTACTCTTGCCGACTTCCAATTCTGTTATACCATGTGTCACCTGAAATCAGAAAAAGGCCACATCTATTACCTCAAGCTGAGGTCTACGGAATACAAAATTGTTGCCGACCTCCCTGACTCCAACAAGGGAGCGGGGGATGATTACTTCACCGTTTCGGGTAATTGGGAGTTTCAACCAAACGATGACCTCTATCTGTATCCCCTAAGTCAAACAGTTTTCGGAGAAGAAGCTGGTAAGGGCCACCCTTCACAAATTTTCTTGCTTTCTTGCATAAAGTTTTCAACATTCTGCTCTAATGTCTACACTTTTTTTTCTTTTTTACAGTTCTCCCTCAGCCACCAAAGGGCTTTCGTCAGTCTTTCTTTCCCAGCAAAAACTTGAAGAAACTACTGAATTTGCCAGTCCACAAGCGGAAGGCCCCTTTGCTTCTCAACTTTATCCCCACTTATAAGTCGGCTCTTCTTGACATCCCAAAGAAGAAGAAGAAAAGCCTTTCTCCATTTTCTGCCACAACTCCACAAGTCGCGTCCACATCTCGGACAGACCAAGGATCAACCTCTGATCCTATGGAGCAGCTATCAACCTCGGCTCCATACCTGATCCCACTATCTCAATGACATCGTTGGCGACGAACTATGTTTTCTTCCGAGATGGGCCGCCAGAAAGCTGTTGTAAAAGACCTCTTAGCCAGCATCCCTTCTGACGTTGGCGTTCAGCCAACGCAAACCCAGCCTCCACCAAAGCAAAAAAGAATTAAGAAGGCTAAACCAAAGGCCAAGGTGACTCAGGTTGACACTGAGGACACTTTGCCGATCTCCAAGCTGGCTGAAAGCGACAAGTCTCAATCCGCTGCTAGGAAGAGGCGTTCTGAGGCCCAACCATCCGAATCCCCAAAATCAAAGAAGCCGAGGTCATCCTCTACAACCACCTCGGGGTCCAAAAAACATGATGCCCCCTGGGCTCCCAACATCACTCTAGAAGATAAGCCAGTTATGGCCAACGATAATGCTGATGACATCAACATCGACGTAACCTTCGGTACCGCTCTGCTTCTCCCCGGCAATCTTGACCGAAACGCCGAGTTAAGCGAATATGAAAACTACGCTCTGATGCTTCAATGCTCCATTCAAGTAAGTGTCTTTATCTGGTAACTTTTTCTTTCTTTCTGTTTATTTCATACTTGTAATTTTTTCTAACAACTTCTGTTCTATTTACTTTCAGGCCATCTAGCATGCTCATTCTTTCTCAATACAATCTTTTGAGAACCGGGAGAAGCTGGCCAAGAAGAAGAGAGAGGTCTCTAGTCTGCAAAAGACTAACAAAAATCTGCAATCAAAGATGAAGACTTTGGAGGATCAGGCTGAGATCGCTATCAAAGCCAAGGACGATGCCGAAGAAAAGGTTGGCGCTGCTGAGGCGATAAACAAAGTACTTCAAGCCCAGCTGAAAGAGGCCGAGGATAAAATGGCCGAGGCCCAAAGGGAGCTTCAAGACGCCCTGGCCACCAAAGAGGCCAAAGTCAAGGCAGCTGATGAAAAGGGGTACAACGACGGGGTAGCCGATGTCACGGCGAACTATGAAAAACAAGTAAAGCAAGCATGCAACAAGGGCTTCACCCTTGGCTGGATGACCTTGCTGAAAAGGCTTGATGTCCCCGAGGACTCCTCAGGAATACCGATGTCATTCCTCTGCCATTCCCCCCAACTCCAAGCCAACCTGCTGACAACGACTCTGAGTCTGAGGAGAAGGTTTTGGTGATGAAGCCCAAGGAAGCTGTTGGGGCCAAGTCTCTTCCTCAAAATGAGCAAGTCCTAGACTTGACACAAGATGAGGAGGTTGAGGAGGTCTCTAAGGAAGCTACCCTTGAGCAGGCATCTTTGGACGTGCCTCTCGCCGACAAGAGCCTTGATCAGGCCCTTCAAGAGATTGATGCTGAGCTTGAGGCCGAGAAAGTGGCCTAGATGTCCTCCCAACAGTCTTCCGAGATCCAGACTCAGCCTGCTAATGATGCTGAGGAATCTTAGTCTTGAAGTCTTTCTTTTTCTTTTTCTTTTCCTTTCTTGTACTTTGTTTTCCCTTTCAAAGTAATGTAAACTCTTTATGTTGCCGATGTGCCTTTTCATGAATACGACTTCTTTCTTTCTTGAATGCTTGTATGTTTGTCTTCCCTTTATTGCTCTTGTATGACTCTCCTATTTAGAATAATTTGCATATCTTTAATATATACTTTAATCTTTATGTAACCTCCTCGGGGTGACATACCTCGGTTATGACGATTTACTTCGGCAAGTATCCAAGTACCTTTCTTGGCGTGACCTCGGTTTCAACTTATAAATTTTTATCAAATTTCAACAAGTGTTTAACATCATCTTGGTTTTAACTTTAACTTGTAAACTTTTCGCAAGTTTCAACAAGTATAAAACATCATTTCGGTTTAACTTCAACTTGTAAACCTTTCTCAAGTTTCAACAAGTGTTAAACATCATTTCGGTTTAACTTCAACTTGTAAACCTTTCTCAAGTTTCAACAAGCGTTAAACATCATTTCGATTTAACTTCAACTTGTAAACTTTTCTCAAGTTTTAACAAGTGTTAAACATCATTTCTTCTCTCTGCCCCTTAATGTGAACCTAAGGTCCACTTGGGGTCTCATTATGCACGTATTCCGAAACAACGTTATGTATCTTCATCAGTCACAAATATAGAAGAATTCTACTAAAATTTTATTCATTACGTTGGCAAATAACAAGGAAAATCTAATGATAGAAAAATTTCAGATTACAAGTATTCCAAGGTCTTAACAACTTTTTGCCCTCACTATCTTCAAGCCGATATGCCCCGTTGCCCAATACCGAAGTGATTCTGTAGGGTCCTTCCCAGCTTGGGCCAAGCTTGCCCTCCTTGGGATCTTTCTTGTTGCCGACGACTTTTCTCAAGACTAGGTCGCCGACTTGGAACTCCCTTAGGTTGACTCTTTTATTATAAGGTTTGGCAAGCTGTTGCTGGTAGGCTGCAAGTTGAATTGCAGCCTTCTCTCTTCTTTCTTCTAGTAGGTCTAGATCTCGGGCTAAGAGTACATCATTAGTCTCATTCTCTACTCCCTGGGTTCTGATCCCAGGGATACCAACTTCAAGCGGAATGACAACTTCTGTGCCATAGGTCATGGCAAAGGGGGATTTCCCTGTTAAACTTTTCGGCGTAGTCCGATATGCCCAGAGCACATTTGGTAGTTCATCCACCCACTTTCCTTTTGTTGCTTGTAGTCTCTTCTTTTTCCCGTCTAGGATAACTTTGTTGGATGCTTCTACTTGTCCATTGCTTTGAGGAAAGCTTGGCGTTGAAAAGTAGTTCTTGATCTTGAACTTTGCACAAAAGTTCTTGATCAGCTTGTTGTCAAATTGTGTTCCATTATTAGCCACTATTGCTCTCAGAATTCCAAATCTGGTGATGATGTTTCTCCATAAGAAGTTCTTCACGTCTACATCTCGGATCTTGGCTAGGGGCTCAACTTCTATCCATTTTGTGAAGTAATCTGTTGCTACCAGTAGGTACTTCCTTTGTCCAGTTGCTTGGGGCAGTTGCCTAACGAGATCCATGCCCCATTGGGCAAATAGCCAAGGACTGGATACTGGGTTCAGGTCTGCTGCTGGTTGGTGTATCAGTGGTACAAACCTTTGGCATTTTTCACACTTCTTGATATAGGCTTCTGCGTCTTTCTGCATGTAGGGCCACCAATATCCCTGGGTAATGGCCATGTGGGCAAGCGATCTGCCCCTAGTGTGGCTTCCACAGATTTCTTCATGTATTTCATATAAAAAACTCTCAACTTGTGATGGGTGTACACACCTTAAAAGGGGTCCAGTAAAGGATCTTCAGAGATGTGCTTCTGCTGTTAGGCTGAATCTCGCCGACTTCAATCTGATCTTGTGTGCCTCTTTGTGGTCATCTGGTAGCTTTCCTTCCTTTAAGAATGCCACAATTGTATCCATCCAGCTTAGTCCCATATCCATACACGTTGTTTCACGCTCTGTGCTCAGTGGCTCGATACTCGGGCCCGATAAGTATTCGACCATTATAGTCCTTGCTTTTCCAGGTTGTATTGCACTGGCCAGATTGGCTAGTGCATCGGCGTGTCTGTTATCATCTCGGTTGACCTGATGTAGTCGGTAATTATGAAATAAATCTACTAACCTGTTGACTTCCTTTTTATAGGCTGACATCCTTTCATCTCGGGCTGCAAATTCCCCCGTTGTCTGGTTGACTATGAGCTGGGAGTCACAGAAGACTATCACTTCATCTGCTTCTGCTGCTACC